TTGAGTTTTGTGCAGTGTTTTTTTGTTTTTTGTGTTTTTGGCAGAGGGGGAGGATATGACATAAGATAGAAATAAATTTATTAAAGCAAAATTAAAGAAACACTTAAGTCCTTGATCTTGTTTTGATTGGGTTTGAGCTTAGCACTTTTAGGTGGACTATATTCTGTGTCTGTGTCTTCATACATGCTTTGAGAATCTTTACATTTAGGTACACTGAGGAAAATGCCTATAGTCACTAATTTATCTTTAAGTAACACTGACAATTAAGAAAAACATATTTGCCTGATGTATTATAATAAAGTCAACAAGCAAGCATTGGTTCCTTAATAAACATTCTGGTGCAAGAGCATTACATGCTTTTAATTAGAACTTGGAACCAGTTCACTTCTTTCCTGTTAATTAAAGAATGGCAACATTCATTGGCTGACTCTTGAAATAAAAGCTTAAGTTTGAGGTCTCTGTAGAGTTCTGCTAGTCTCTCTACCAGGAACCTAACTACATAAGATATTGGAAGTAAAAATAATTTTCATATATAAGGCATTGTGGCATATAAGACATCAATTCCATAGTCATGATAACGGAAATAAAAAATGATACCTTTATCTTTTAAAAATAGTTAAAAGATACCCTAATAAGAAGAGGAAACCAAGGAAGAAAAAAAGGAAATAGATTGCATAAGTAATTGCATTAGAGAAACCATGATCTTAATGTTTCTTAGTCTATCTTGTTGAAAGAGGGTGGGGAGGAGACGAAGAGTGAAGATTTTTAAATAAAGAGGAAAATGGAGACAAGCTGGACAATTTCCATAGTTAATGAGGAAGAAAAGGATCTCATTCAAAAAGAATGTTAAAGGCACTCTAAGTTCACAGAAAATATTCATTGTTTCATGGTTATGAACTGTTGGAACAGGGAGGACATTTTTAAAACACATCTACTTTAATCTCTCTCTCTTTCTATCTCTCTCCTTCTTCCCCTGCCTTCCGCCCTCTTTCTCCCCCATCCTCCCTGTCTCTCCCATCCCCTCTCTTTAATAGATGTAGAAATTAAGATCCAAAACAATGAAACAGTCTACCCCAATTACATGGCTGTGTGACTAGGATAAAAGTAAAAATCTACACTCCCTGATTACTAGTTCAATTTTCCTTTCACTTCCCTGGACAGGGACATATATATATATATATATGGTAATATCATGATATAGTCAACTCAAAGATAAACTGTGGTCAACAGAACTTCTACTGCTGAGATTAGGTAGGTCAAGGGCCAGCCTTATTGATGTGTGTCTATCATGGGACTCTGTAGCTAGAGATTTAAGTAATTCTGTCTGTTTTTCTCTTGTTAACTTGTACATACAAAGGCTGAATATGTATCATCTATAATAATCTACTAGATTATGGTTGAATTTCTACCCTGGCTTGAGGCTTTGGCCAGCCCTTTGATGTTAAAGAAACAAGGCCTCCTGATCCCTTTGCGTCCTTGGGCCTCTCTTCCATTCCTCACACGAACCCTCGACCCTGGATCACCCCTGCCCTAGAAAACGGCTAGAGAAAGTCACACACTGAGTAAACTTCATCTTCTAGCCTATTAGCCCTTGATAGATTCAGACAGTTGCTCCTAATTAATGCTCAAATATTCTTTTTTCCCTTCATTAACACTATGGAAAATTCCACATTGTAGTTGTTGCCCAGCTTTTCTTTTGTACTATGTCCAGTTCCATCTTCAGAGCAGAAAACCCCATTTATTATGTCACTGTGAAGCTCAAGGCCATTTTTTTCTTTCTCTCTTCCAGAAAATATCTATGTACATATCTTGGGCATATTCCTATGTACTTTTCCACACTCATCCTTTTTCCTAATTTAACTCCTACATCTGCTTCCCGGTCCGATTTCCCCCTCTCCATTTCCAAACCTCCCACTTGCCCACCTCTGCAGATTTTTTTCTCTGTCAGTAATTCCTTATATCTGGTTTGCTCAAAATTTTTATTTGTTGGTTCCTTATCCTCAAAAATGTTCAGGTCTCCACCTTCTTGAGGAAAGCATCTTTGAGCTTAGTGCTCACTTCGGTGGCCCTGACCCTTGGCAAGTGCATTAACTCTCAGTGTGAGGTACTGCAGTTGTTCAAATCCTTTGCAGACATTTTTCTCCAACCTGTACCTTTCTCATAAGCCACAGCTCATGTCTATTGAATTCTATTCAAGGTCATTCCAGCTGAGGTTGGTCAGCTTAAGAAAAGTTTATTTCGGGGCGCCTGGGTGGCTTAGTCGGTTAAGCGTCTGACCTTCGCTTAGGTCATGATCTCGCGGTTCGTGGGTTCGAGCCCCACGTCGGGCTCTGTGCTGACTGCCAGCTCAGAGCCTGGAGCCTGTTTCAGTCTGTGACTCCCTCTCTCTGACCCTCCCCTGCTCACGCTGTCTCTCTCTCTCTCCCTCCTAGAAATAAATAAAAAACATTAAAAAAAAAAAAAAGAAAAGTTTATTTCACATTTGTTACCACCTTTCCTTTTTCTTTTTCTGACTTGTTACAGTTTGATTTCGTTTTTTTTGGTTCACTGTCCTTTTTGTTCAAAACTACAGTACTCTTATAATACTTTCCTCATATGCATGTGGCTCAAATTGGCATTTCCATATAGTAGTTACCATTCTTATATTTTTGCTTCGGCACCACATACCAGGTATATAACCCTACATGCGTATTCAATTAATTGACTGTTTCCTACTCAGACTATTCTCCAGAAGTGGGTGGTCAGGTAACTGCCTGGCTAGGCCCTTATTTCCTTACATCCTAATGATTACAATGGCCTTCACACAAGATTACCAGCCAGTGGGTTCTGAACAAAGATTGAGCTTCCATGGGGCGCCTGGGTGGCTTAGTCCGTTGAGCGTCCAGCTTCGGCTCAGCTCATGATCTCACTGCTTGTGGGTTTGAGCCCCATGTCGGGCTCTGTGCTGACAGCCAGCTCAGAGCCTGGAGCCTGTTTCAGATTCTGTATCTCCCTCTCTCTCTGACCCTCCCCTGCTCACGCTGTCTCTCTCTTTCTCTCTTTTTTCTCTCTCTCAGAAATAAATAAAACATTTAAAAAAAATTTTTTTAAATGATTGAGCTTCCAAAAAACAAATAAAACAGACACAAAGAAACAAAACCCTGCTTGCTCGTATCCTCCTCCTCTCCAGAATTCTCTATTGGCTTATCAAGATGTACTCTACAGGGTGAATGAAGCCCAAGGTCCTCGGCTTAGAATTCATGTTTCTGCCCTCGTCTGGATCTCTAATCTCTTCACATCTTTCCTCAACGTGAATCCACCTCTTCTGGAAAGTCTGTCCACTCAGGCATGTCATGTGTGTTTCTACTGCAGTACATTGGCATATGCTATTTTTCCTATTTTTAAGTCAAACAGCTCTAACCTATCTACATCTTACCCAGCTGATGCCAAAACATTTTTCCTAAAATTCAGCACCCACCCTTAGTTACCTAGGACCAGGTGGATACTTCCCTAACTTGATGAAGGACTTTCATCTTAAACAAATAGCATATTACATTTAACTGTGAAGTTCTAAAGCATTTCTATTAAGATTGAGAATAAGCAGAGGATGTTGGCTATTACCAATATTACCTACTGTTGTGATAGAATTTAAAAGATATGTATTTTGGAAAAGAGGAGCCAAATATATCTTAATCTGAAGAGGATATGATTGTTGCCTACTCAGGCAATGTGAGGGAATCAAATAGAAAAGTAGTAGAACTAATAAGAGAGCTCACCAAGGTTGTAGTTTATAAAATAAATACCCAAAAATCAATAAATTTCCTATAAACCAGCATTGACCAGTTAGAAAAAACATAATGGAAAAATGATACCATTTACAATAACCCAAAATACATAATTATAATAGCAAAAAATTAATAAGAAATGTGTATAATTTATATGAATGAATCTGCAAAACGTTGGTGAGGACTATATGTCATATCTACCATTCAACAATCAGTTCAATTCTGCCACGTCCAAAAAAGTTTTATTTTTAATTTTTTTTATTAAAAAAATTTTTTTTAATGTTTATTTATTTCTGAGAAAGAGACACAGAACATGAGTAGGGGAGGGGCAAAGAGAGAGGGAGAAAGAATCAGAAGCAGGCTCCAGGTTCTGAGCCGTCAGCACAGAGCCCAACTTGGGGCTCGAACTCATTAACTGCAAGATCACAACCTGAGCTGAAGTCAGACGCTTAACCGACTGAGCCGCCCAGGTGCCCCCAAAGCTCTTTTCAAAATGAAGTCCAAAATATTGTCTCTCATCTGAACTCCATTGTATTTCTTGTGGATAACAGTCAACTGATTCCCAATAACACAGCTCTTTAAATTTAGACTGTGAGATTCCAGAGAACAAAAACTGTGCTGTTTGTATAGTGGTTATACCTGTGGTCATTTTAATCTCTTTAGCCTCTGCTTTCTCACCTGGAAAATGGGCATGGATATCATTGAGGTTACTATGTAGCCTACATGTATGATTTATAATATTAACTATATTTATAATTATAATTTATAATAATTATAACAGACCATATTAATAGCTTAATTTTTAAAACAATATATCAAATAATATAAGTTATCATTATATCACTAATTTAAATTTGTAATTCTCCAGTATACAACTTGACACATAATAAGCCCTCAATAAATGGTAGCTGTTAGTTACAACTCTTGGTCCAAGGTTACATGTAGTTGACAAAGATGTTGACAAGTGTCAAACACGAATGATCCCTTTAATTCTAGGGATGGCAGTACAGGAAGAACCACATAGAGAATACAGCAACTGCAACTCGGATTTAAAGGGAGTCAGAAACTAGAAGTAAAATGGTCAAGTTCTGGGAACTGGGATCACAGTTAAATAAGAGAAGTTTGGAGCGTAGTTTCTGGGAAAGAATGAAGCCAATGGGTACTCCAGGGAGCAGAAACCATGAGAGTCATAGAACCTTCTACCACCGCCGGCTTTTAAAAGAACATTGCACTTACCCAGGTAGGGAGATGAATGTATTCAGAGGAGTGATAGGTTGAATTTGCTGCCCTTCTAAGCATTAATCCTGTAAAAAGATCCAAGATAGATTTTAATCAACGGGAAGGTGAGGGTGAGGGCAGCAGCCAAACTGTATGCAATCAAAACCTCATATTTCAGTCTATAGTAGATGCACAAAAACTATACTTTGAATAAAGGCTGTGTACTTACATGATAATCAAGATCACTTAGAGTGACAGATTTAAAGAACTATGAAACAGTTGCTTGTTATCAACAGGTTCAAAAGCCAAGTTCTAATTAGAGAATATTTATTCCACATGAATTCCCCAAAGAGCCAAAGGGTATTCTAAATCAGGCTTATGTTAGTTTGACTTCAGGAGAAATTAATATTTTAAAATTATTATTTACTCATGTTACTTCAAACAGCATTTAAGGCAGCAGAAATCTATATTTTCATTCTAATCTGGATGTTACCAAATCCCATTGTCAGAACAATAGAAGGCCCTCATATAATTTATGTTGTATAACAATTTTTATATTACTAAGTGAGTTACAGTCATTAATAAGTTTTCAGACACATTTGTACTGTTATTTTGGCAAAGTTCTTTTTAATGTTAACACAGTGTCTACAATGGGGGCCTTCTAGGCATGGTTAAATTAGGGTTCAGGAGAACCTTTACAATGTTCAGATCTCATCTGCCAATCTCTTTCCTCCTGTCTCTCTGTTGCATAGGGCTCAATAAAACATATATAACTTGTTCTCACATTGCATAAGGGCTTCTCCTTCGCATAAGCCTAACGTTTTAAAAACGAGTCAAGGGGGGCGCCTGGGTGGCTTAGTCGGTTAAGCGTCCGACTTTCACTTAGGTCATGATCTCGCGGTTTGTGGGTTCGAGCCCCGGGTCGGGCTCTGTGCTGACTGCCAGCTCAAAGCCTGGAGCCTGTTTCAGTCTGTGACTCCCTCTCTCTCTCTGACCCTCCCCTGCTCACGCTGTCTCTCTCTCTCCCCTAGAAATAAATAAAACATTAAAAATAAAATAAAATAAAAACGAGTCAAGGGAAATGAAAGACCGCCATCTTTATCACACTGTTAAGTTCACCTGAGAATTTTGTTATATGACCACATTAAAAACATAAACAATTTTCAGCACGTTTCAATCTTTTCCACAGATAATGATAAGCATAACTATCATCCAAGAAGTCCTCGACTTTGATGGGCCACAGGAAGGTGCTGTGATGAGCTATAGCGAGGGAGTTTGGGGAGTAGAAAATAGAGAATAATCCAACTGGCTATAAGGGCTAGCTAGGACTTTTCAGTGTTGTGTCAATAATTATGCATAAGGGGCCTATGAACACACAATAGAGAAAAATGAGATGAAAAGATGTTAAAAGTCAGGTAAAAATGTGAACACCTGTTCAAAGCAGCACTAATGTGATGTCACCATAGCATTGAGAAAGGACAGCGGACTTTTCTGCTGAAGAACTGGGTTAAAATCCCAAACCTGCCACTTGCTGGCTCTGTCAGTTGCATGAATTGTTTACCCTGAAAACCTCACTTTCCTCATTTATACACTGTCAGTAATCTCTACCTCCTGAGTTGTTCTGAGGATTAAATGAGATAAGCTATATAGAAAGCCTTAATAAATTTTACTAATCAACACTATGAAAATAATATGTTGTTAAAAAAGAAAAAAAGAAGTCCAAAATGGAGTCATTTGGCCCCCAAAACAGCAAATCTAGACTTAATTACAGTTTCAACCTAGCCTAAGAATGTGACATTTTAACCATAAATCTGAAATTTCCTTATCAGCATGAGTGATGTTATCGGTACATATAATTAAAAAACCGGCCTAATCCCTTCTCCCCAGAAATGATGTCCTGGCCTGAAACAATCCTTTCCTTTCTTTTAATAATCTCTTGCCCCACCCTCCTTCCTATAAAAACCTCCCATTTTGCACAATTCCTCAGGGCTCCCCTCTGCTTGCTTGATGGGACACTGCCCAATTTATGAATTGCTTTAAAAAGCCAATTTGGTGTTCAAATTTACTCAGTTGAAATTTTATTCTTTAACACTATAAAATGTGTGTTTTTCTTTTTTCTTTTTTTTTTTTTTTTACTTTATTTATTTTGAGAGAGAGAGACTGCACACAAGCATGAGTTGGGGAGGGGCAGGGAGGGAGAGAATCCCAAGCAGGCTCCGTTCCATCAGCGTAGAGCCTGATGCGGAGCTCAAACTCACGAACCATGAGATCATGACCTGAGGTGTGTGGGGTTTTTTTTTTTTTTAATGTTTTATTTATTTCTAGGAGAGAGAGAGACAGAGACAGCGTGAGCAGGGGAGGGTCAGAGAGAGAGAGGGAGTCACAGACTCTGAAACAGGCTCCAGGCTCTGAACTGGCAGTCAACACAGAGCCCGATGAGGGGCTCGAACCCACGAACCGCGAGATCATGACCTAAGTATTAGTCGGACGCTTAACGGACTAAGCCACCCAGGCGCCCCAGAGATCATGACCTGAGTTGAAACCAAGAGTTGGCCGCTTAACTGACTGAGACACCCAGGCGCCCTTGAGTTGTAAGTTTTATGAAGGTGAAAATCGTATCTGTGTTTTTAGCTCGGGTCTACCCCAGTGTCTAGGACTCCATAGGTATTTGCGGAGTGAAAAAAAAAATTAATAAATGAATGAATTGTTACCAATAACTGTAAGTGGGAGCTCAAGAAGTGGAGAGTTTTCAGAAAGAATCCTTTGAAGGAAACTGGGTTATGCAGTCAGCCTTGCTGCCTTGTGTTTTTTTTTTACAGGGACAATAAAAATTCAAAGAATGCAGAGACAAGACACTAACATCTGTACAGCATAAAGCAAATGCACTGTCATTGAGCTGATGAATGTTTAGAAAGAAGAGTAAACAAGATGCTGTGGATCAGAGCCTGGTGCACTTCCACTCAGAGAAACTCTTCAAGTCGTCTGTGTTTCCTAGTAATTCATTGCCCCCAGGGATAGTCATGTAAATCAATGCGCACTTATCAGGAAGATACAAAAGTGGGCTGATAAACTACATACCCAGTGAAGATCTAATCACACATCTTTAAAGATTTATGAGATTCCTCCTTAGGAGAGGGTTTGTCCACCAGAATCAGCTGGACAAAATAAATGTGGCTAGTGGCACTTTTTCAGGTCACAAATGCACCTTCCTTTACCCCCTTTGTATAGCGGAGGATCTTAGGAATCACTCAGAGCCCTCGCCGTGTGAACCGCTGTGAACTGTACTCTGTAGACAAGTGACAGGAAATAGAAGGAAAAAGTGAGGCTTCAAGGTACTTAGTTATCTAATGAAGGCAAAAGTGAATGAGAAATAAAAATTCCTTACAAAAACTGAAGACAACGTGTTATCGAGGTTCAGAGGACAAACTTCAGAATCATATTGATCAAGGCTGGATTCCTGGCTCCAGCGCTTATTGACAAAGTGACCACATTAAAGTAATTCAAAATGTCTATGCTTCGGCCCTGTGGGGGAGACGACATCTCGTGGGATGACCAGCGTGTTCCTGGCAACAACATACATGTCCTCCACTTGGTGAAAGCATTCATACACATACCGACGGATGCTGTGTTTATGTTGAGGGAAGTGATCTCAGTCTGGGAAATATGAGCCCTCTTCCCCCTCACCCTGCCCCTGGCTTCAAAATCAATTAATGATAATTTTGCCCTTCTTTCATTTCTCAAATGCCTGATCATTGACAGTTGAATTGTTGCTAATCGAGAAAATGGGTGAATCAGAGAAAAAAAGAGAAGGGGGATGGGGCATGGCTGGATAAGGAAGAACTCTGCTCTTCACTTCCTGATTAAGCCCTGACTGAAAGGAACTGAGTGTCTAGGGGCCCATGAATGTTCACTGTGGACTTCGAGTCCAACAACCAGGGTTTGAATGTCACCGTGTCACTCACTAGCTTTGTCACCCTGCCAAGCTCTTTACCTGTGGACCTCAGTGTGCGCCTCTGCAAAAGGAGAATGGCAATACTATCTAAGACACAGAGTTGTTGATGTTTAAATGAAATCAGTGTGTGAAAAGGTTAACCTAATGCCTAGCCTTCTAAGCAGTCAAGAGAGTTCAGAAGATAATAATAGTAGTTAAGTAGGTCGCCTTGCAATTTGAATCTGCAAGTCTAATATTACTACAGAATTCCTTATATGGAGTTAATACAGTGAATTCAAACTGCAATGATGTATTATTATTGGCACTCCATGTTTTATAACTAGGGTAAAAATTGCTACTAATTTGGGCGAAGGTTTTTACAAACCCAGGAGAGACAATATGCTCCTACTTGATGTCTGATTCCCCCAAATTTCTCCGTAATATATTCCTCAAACCTTACCAGCTCTTGATTAATTTTTTCCTCCTAATCTTTTATGATGGGACATTTGTCAAATAATTTATACTTTAGTAAATGCCATCCTATTAAGGATGTTTTACCTCCAAATAACTTCAAATTCCAACTGAAACTAAATATGAAACTCCTGGGAAGTCTGGAATGTCTAGTGAAGTTACATCAAGCACCAAGGACACGCTGGCAGCACAAGCCTTAAGCTGCAATTAAAGGGAAGCTCATTGAGCACCTTCTACTATCAGGTACTATGCTAGGCTCTTTACAGATTTAATTGAATCTCATAGCAACCCAGAAAGGTGAATGCTCTTATGCATATGCTTGAAAAGCAGACCTTGAGACATGAGAGAGTTTGCTTAAGATCAAAGAGTTAAGAAACGGGCAGAGTCAGGGCTAGACTCTTAAGTCTGTCTGACTTCAAAGCCTTTCCTCTTTCTTAAGCCTTCCTGCCTCTCCCCAGGAAACTGGGCACCCATTCAAACCTGTCAGTGGGGGCCACAGCCACCTGCTAGTGACAGCAGGGCCCGGGCACCATTGCAGGCAGCACCATGGAATCCAAGGCACACCAGAGGGTGGTGCTGAGGCAGCTGAGAAGCTCCCTGCCCCAGACGGGATTGGCAATGGCACCAGCAAGTCTGTAGCTGAGGCCCACAGAAAGCTACGAGGAAGCAGGCAAGCAG